GCACTTAAACAAAAACGAGAGACGACTGCACCTCGCTTTGACAATGATGATGTTTCCGTATGATGATAATGAGCAATGATGGCATGAGAGTGAGTGGGAGCGAGGCTGCGAATGAGGAGGATGCTAAGGATGTTAAGGATGATGCCTGTGCTCTTTAATTCAAATGCAAAGAGTCGAGCGAACAGCCTCGACCCGCAGTCGCGCATCTTCATCCAACTCATAAGGACGTCGGCGTCTAGGGGCTGCCGAGGTATGTTACGGGAGGGAAAGGCTGCAGAAACCCTTCACTTTTTGGCGAGTGCTCAACACTTCATGATAAATAATGCAGCTGCAGCAGCAGGAGCTTTTTTGTAGCACTTTTCTTCAGCTGTCGCTGTCAGTCGGCTCGAAACTTGCCTGCAAGCTAGCCACCTGGCTGCAACATCAGCACCACCTCAATGTCCTCCTCTGCTCCGACTCGCAGCTGCCGCCCTCCCCCCACACTACCCATTGGAGGGGCTCTGTTGACACATAGTTTGTAGTTGGCAAACAGCAACAACTGCGCTGCAGTTGAAGATGCTTCGTATAAATTTGAATATTTAACAATAAAAGCAACATCATTGCAATGCCAAAAGAAAGGCCAAGCGAGAGAGAGAGAGAGACAGGAGGAAAGAAAGAAGGAGGTAGTAACAGACGTTTAGAAAGCGAGAGAGAATACAAGATCTGACTGCTGAATGCAAGTACAGTACAGTACAGTATACACTGAAAAAAATAATTATTAATACAAAAGTAGATCACATAACAAAGGTCGCACTTAGGGCGCTTGTTGCTAAAACATATTGGGAATTACAAACAAATGAATACTTTATCTTATTGCTTCTAACTTAAACTAAGTACCATCAGCTAAATATTCAAGCGTATTACAAATAATTTTCAATTGTTAAATGAATACTTGGTTGAGGCAAAGAAATTTCAGTGCGAAATGTTTTACTCTATTTTCAACTTGCAGTAATAATAATATAAATATAATAATTAAAAGAATTTGTGACTTGTTTAACATAAAATTTTGGCTCAGTGCGAATTTTAAAATCTTAAGATTTGTTGAATTAACAATTAGACTGACTAGACTTGAACCCAAATCCTTGACCTTGTTTTGCACAGTACGTTACTTACTCAAATATGTTGCCAAAAACTGGAAACAATTGAAGTTTAAAATTTAATAGAAATATAAACAATATGTCAAATGGAAAACAGGCAAAGAAATTGGTTGACATTTAGCTTTATATTCATTTATTTATTTATTTTTAATTAATTCATTAGTTTTCATTTATTCTTAGACCCTTGATATCCTCAGAAGTGTGTGTGGTTTATTTTTATAATTCAACTTAATACGCTTAAAATATTTATTAATTAATACATATACATATATAATCATTATTATTATTATAATTATTATTATGTATAATATTATGTTCGCTTGCTGTAATATAATGCCATATATAATTGTTCTTTTGCACACACATTCGTATATATATGCACATATATATATATATATGTGTGTATATACATATATATGCATATATATATGTATGTATATTTATATATATTTTATATATGAATATGCTTAGTTTTAAATCGTGCGCTTTGCCACATTTGGCTCTGCATTTTTGCCGTTAATTTCATTTGTTTCTTTTTCGCTTCTTCCTGCTCTCGTCTTAGTCATTTACTTAGCTCATTTCAGCGTTCTTGGGGTACGGGGCGTTCTTTCACTAGGTTTACAAAAAAAAAAAATTCTTTCTTTTTTTTTTTGTTATTTTAAGTAGAATTTGTCCTACAGTATTCTTTTTTTTTTGTTTTGGTTTTTTTTTGTGTTATTTACTATTCTTGTGAAATACATAGTTGATATACTACAAACTTTAAGTTTTCTTCTTTTTTTTTCATTCGTGTGAGTGTGGTATTTTGTTTTGTCTAGTAAATATAATTTGTTCTTCTTTGTTTTTTGTTTTGTTTATAATATTAATAACTGTATTCGTTTTTTTTTCTGTCGCTTTTGCTGTCTTTACTTTATTTTGTATTTAGTTATTATTTTTTATTATATCTCATAAATTCTTGTTGTTGCTAAATTTTGTTTTGTTTTTCTCCATCTTGTCGTAGTTGTAGTTCGCTTCAGTGCTGTATGTGAATGTAGGTGTATGTGAGTGTGGGTGAGTGTGTGTGAGGGATGTGTGGCATGTGTGGCAGTGTGTGTTTTGTATCTCTTGTTGTGTTTTGTGTGCAAAACGTTTAAATGGTAAATTTTATCTCAATTGTTTCCCTGTTTCTTTATTTGCTAAGTATTTTTTATTTAATTTTTTTTCCATATTTTTTTGTTGCTTGACTTTTGCCTTTTTTATTCGACGGCGCTCTAACATAAATATACTAAAATACCATTTTATGTACATATAAATATTTTTTGTTTTTCTTTAAGCCCATTTATGCTTTGCTCTAAGTTTATGTTTTTCTTTTTTGAGTTTTAAATTTTTGCGCTTAGTTCTTCATTTTTGGCTTCTTATTTTGTTTCTTGTAGTATTTTTAGTATTTTGTTGCTTTTGAAGCAATTTTTTATGTTTTTTTTTTTTATTTCGTTTTTTTTTTTCTTGTTTTATGCTTGCCAAATTCTAATAGGTAACTGACTCCTGCTCTTTATTTTGTTTGTCAAATTGTTTTTGGTTTGCCAATTAACAAAGGAAAAACGGAATAGATCAACACAAATTACACTACACACAGAATACATACCAGTTAAATACCAAAAATACCAATTGGTATGCATATTTTACTTTGTATTATCCATATGTATATGCATGTATATACTATATTGTATATATTGTTTTCATTTAGTTTCTTTACATTTACATTTAAGTATATTCTTTAGGCGCGAGCGACAAGAAAAGCCACAGAAAAAACACTAAAAAAAAGTCAATGCAAGGTGCTATATACTCGTATGCGTTATACAACACTAGTTTACCATATTAGTTTAGCCTTATGAAGTATGTACACAAAAATCTCCTCCTCCACCTCCTCCTCTTTAACGTTCTACTCTCTTCGTATCTTTAGCGTTAGGGCTGTCGCGACGTGACTGTACCTACATCTATGTAGCTGAAGCTTTTGATATAACGCTATGTATGCTAAATATGTATGTATGTGTGGCACACACACACGACCCCTAACACATACACGTGCATATGGTATGTACTTGTTATACATATATATGTGAATGTATCTAGCTAGCAATTGCTTAGGTCGGGTGCGGTGTTTGCCAAGTTCCATTATTATTACAAACTAAACATGTTATCGTTATCGTTATCGACTAACGTCTATTGACTATCGACTATCGTCTATTGTTATAGTTAGCATTAGTTTTACGCCAATTGCCCAATTCTTTTAAATTTTTCTTTTCTTTTGCATGCTTTCCATTCTTTTTCAATTTTTGGCCACTTTTCTGTACGACTTGCAAAATTTTTTAAAATTTATATTTGAGTTTTTGTTTTTGCAACTAATTCAGCAAATGTTTTATATAGGCCAAATCTACATTTTTCTGTTTTACTTAAGCGCTAAAAGACAAAAAAAAAACAATGTTTCATATATTTTTACATTATACTATTCTTAGTTTTCGGTTGCAATAAATTCGATAAGCACCAATTCATCAAAACAAAAAGGTTGTTTTAAATAAAAAGGTAAAAATTGCAACAAAAACTAAAACCCAAGTGTGGGTGTGTGTGTATGTGTATGTGTTTAAGTTTTGCCCGAGCTTTCTTGTTGGACGGAAAAAATGAATCAGCTGCGTGTGAAATAAAATCGGAAACAGATCTTGATTATTTTGTTTTTCTTTCGACTGGAATTTAGTAGGGGAATTCGTTTAATTTTATGTGCTCAATTGTTAATACTGATTTTTCTGCTTGTTTTATTTTAAAAATTTTTATTTTAAGCTTTATTTATTTCTCATTTCCTTTTTGCTCGTTTTTGTGTATTTCGCGCAAAACTTGCAAATAATAACAAAACATTTTACAGTTTACACGATATAATATTTATGACTAAAAATTGGGTCAGGTTTGAATAAAAAAAAATTACGGTAATTTAAAATCAAGATATTTTAATTATTTTAATACTCCTCGCTGCAATAAATTAATTAAAAGCATATTTAAACGTAGGCATGTAAAAATATATAAAAAGGAAATAATTATTTTAAAAGCTAAATTTGGAGTTTGTAAATTTAAGTTGAATGTTTAAAATGTGTTTCGTTTCGTTTCTTATTTTTTCCTTTTTTTTTTTAACAATTTAGCTTGGCCTGTTTTAATGGCGGCGTCGTTATACAGTTAGAATTACAGTTACATTTATAGTTATGGCGCATATGGTTTTTTTTTCTTTTTTTTTTGTAAATTTTACGTTCTTTTAGTTGAATATTTTTGATAATTTACTTTATTTTTGCTTCTGTTTTTACTTGTATACCTATAAAGTTGGCTATATAGCATGAGCTTGTCTCTGTCTCTTTCTTGCCTGCGTCTGTCTCTGTGTGTTGCAGTGCGTTTGGTCTAAACTTGGCATAAATTAGCTACAGCTGCGACGACGCCTAAAACTATGCTTGCTTTTTGTTTTGTTAAATATTTTTATATACATTTATAATGGATAATTTATATATCTATATATATATATATATATATATATATATATATATGTAGGTGTGTGTGGGCACATATATATTATTTGCTTTATACCACTTGCAGGTCTGCTGACCTATGGGACACTGAGAAATTTGCAGCCTATTCGCCTGGACTTCCTCTCAACAGCAGCTATATGGATGTATATATATAATTATATATATATATATATATATATATATATATATATATGTGTGTGTGTGTGTGTGTGTATTTGTGTTCCTTGTGTATATTGGTTGATTTTGTTTAAAACTATGCCAGTCTCAAAAAGCTCGAGTACCACGATTAAATAACAAAAAAAAAAAAAAAAAAAAATTCCTTCTCTTCTTTTTGCTGCTTGTTATATTATCATAGGCCTGTGCCCTATATTATATATCATGCTGCCGCTGCTTTTTTATCGCCAAATTCTTATTGTTTGTGTGCATGTATATGCATGCACATATATGTATTTATATATGTATTTATATATACATATATATGTACATGCATATATATGTGTGTGTGTGTTTTTGGGCGCTTAGTTTTAGCTCTTGGGCTTCTCATATAACTAACGTATATTCTACCGTAAGTTTATCTTTATATGGTATATAGAGCACATACACAGACACACATATACACATATACATACACATATATATGGTATAGCTCTAGTGCTTTGTCATATATAATATTTATCGTTTATTTTTTATGCATTTGCTTTGTCGCATTTCTAATTTCTAACGATTATTAAAAAAAAAATTGTTTTAAGCTTTGACTTAAAAAAAAGAATTGAGTAACATATATATTTACCTTCATCATTTTCTGTAGGCCTATTATTTAGTATTTAGTACAGTTGCGCCTTCGACTCTCTCTCTCTCTCTCTCTCAATTTATGTTTCTCTTGCTATCTCTTTCTAACCCAGTGGCTATAATACTCGTAATTATGATAATTATAAATATTTAATTATATTTAGTGGGCTTTTGTTTTGTTTCGTATTGTTTTGTTGTTTTTGGGGTTTCTAGGAGCTAACAGGCGACCGGTTCCGCATCCGCCTCCGCCGTCGCATCGTGCTCGTCGGTGGACCAGCTGAGGCTGCGGCGCCGGCGCTGTGCATTGGAAACGCCCGCCGCACCGCCAGTGGCGCCCTTCTTCTTCACGAACTTGATGTTGTAGGGATCCTCGGCCAGCTCCGGATAGAGGGCGACATCGTGTATGTACTCACCCTCATAGTTGTTGGCATAGCTTTGCTTGAGTATCTCGTCGCTCTCCTGCTGTGTCCACTCTAGGGCGGTGGTCAGGCCGCTGCGCAGCACCTCCTTCTCGCGATGCCAGGCCTTGCGGACGGCGGTTAGCTTAGCGTGGTGCATAAGACGTTGCTGCTCCTTGGCGACGGTGGTGCCGTAGCGCAAATTGATGATCGCATGGGCGCCATGGATCTTTACATCCAAATAATTGCCACCGGAGGCGGTGCCAGCAGCTGCGGCTGCACCGCTGCCGGTGCCGCTTGAGCCGCCAGCTGCACCGCCGGGCGTGGACTCGCGCGTGATCTCATGGAAGGTGGTATTGACCTGGCCCTGCAGACGCTTCAGCTGCTGTCGATCCTCACTGGCGCGCCACGCATCCTCCTTGACAAAGAAGAACGAATCCTGCTGCGCATTGTGCACCACAAAGGTGAACGGCAACAGCTTGGAGCGATTGAAGACGCTAGTATAGACATCCCGATAGATGGCATTTGCTGCCGGCACACTGGACACAATTGCCTGGCCATCGGCTGTCCGGGAGACCACAATGCCCTTGCCAAACGGCGGTTCGGTATCGGAGCCAATGATTCGCGGCGACGGATCCATCACATCGCATTTGAGAGCCGAGCGTGGTGGGGCCGATAGCTGCTCAAAGTCGGACATGCGGCGCACATTGAGATGCGCCAGGAAGCCGCTCTCGACGGCCATGGTGGGTATATTATCGAAGGGACGGCGCATGTTCAGCGCAATCGGATTGGACGGCGGGCGGCCCCAGAGCGCCGGCGGCTGCCACAATTCCTTGGCCAACTGCGGCATTAGATTGGCCACATTGTAGCCGAGGGTGCGCAGCCAGCTGGCAAAATCGGCGGGATAGTGACGCTCCTGGCCCACGTTGATGGGATCGTTGCCATTGAACCGATACAAATGGAGGCGGGTGGGCGTGATGATGCGTTCGGCAACACGCTGCCAATCGGGCGACATCCACTGGCCAATCAATGGATCATAGACACGCCCATCGCCCATGTGGACCAGCGTGGTGACCTGATCCAAGATGCCGCCACAGAAATCAATGGGCAGATACAAATACGGATTCGAATCGTAGACAATATGACCAAAGGGCGAACGCATTATCTCCCTTATCCCCTCGCCATACTGATTGAAGAGCATCAGGGGCGTGCCGCTCTGATCGGTGGCCACATAGTACTTGTGCCTGTAGACCTGTGCATAGATCAGATGCCCGACATCATCGTAAGTCAAGGACATCAGCTTGCCGTCGCGCGGTGAATAGATCTGGGAGACTTCGAAGGGACGCTGCTGATTCGTATAGAAGAACTGGGTGACATTGCCAAAGTTATCCTTGCGGGTCGTCAAACGCTTCAGATGATCGTAATAATATCTGACATCGAAGCGTCCACGTTTCGAAGCGCGCACCAGCAAGCCCTGTGTATTATAATGGAAGCGCTCCTCTCGCGCATTTTGGGCAACCAGGCCCCTGGCATCGTACTTGTACTGGCCCTCGCCGAACTTAACAATCCGATCTTGAGCATTGTACTCCATGGGTATGGTATTGCCGCGATATGTGAGAGACAGCAGATTACCATTGTCGTCGTAGCGGAAGCCCCACGGCTCCTGCGCCTCCACGCCCACCAGCTGCCCATCGCAGTCCCACGTATAGTTCTTCACGTTCGTGTAGCTGTTAACGGCCATGTTGCGGGTATATGTGCGGGTCTGGGAGATGCGTCCATGTACACCGTACGAGAACTCCATGCGGAACACCTCCAGACGATGTATGGCCAGGGCCATGCGCTGCGTCTGGAAGCGGCCGTCGACGGTGCGCGTGAAACCGGCGGTGCCATCGTGCAGCTGGGTCTGATTCAGAGCCGGACGGGTAAACTTGAACTGTCCAATCAGGCTTGGCTGGCCGGTGCGCTTGTCGTAGGCATACGCCTGGCTGGGCAGGCTCTGGCCACCAATGCGTCCCTGCAGCGCCACTACGCGCAGCTGGCTGTCATACTCGTAGCTGAACTTGGCATTGCTCAGGCCCGTCTTGGCCACGTAGTCGATGCGCTCTTCGGTGAGCAAACCGGCGGCATACTCAAAGTCCCAGCGATATTCCAGTTCGCGCTCCGCGTGGGACACTGTGCTGGGCATGCCGGTGGCATCGTTATACTGGAACTCGCTGCGTCCATCGCCGTGGACCACCTCCGTCAACTGGCCGGCCGCATTGTATCGATAGACAATCCTGGCGCCATCGCCCGGCAATATGGTCTGAAGCAGGGCGCCCGCATGGCTGTAGTGCTGCAAATAGGCGCGTGTGCTGCCCGGAGGGGTGTAGGTGCAGCGAATGAAGCCAATGGAGGTCTGCATGCTAAAGCTGTGCCGTGTGCCCGAGGGTAGCACCACGTGCCGCAAGCCACCGGCGTCATCGTACTGCAGCACAAACTTGCGCTGGCTGGCCAGGCCGATCTCGGAGACAAGGTTCCAGTCGTTGTAGACAAAACTAATGATGCCATCCTGCTGTGAAGTGATCTCCGAGAGCAATCCGTGCCGATCGTAGCTATACTTGAGCTCCGCTGGACCCCAAGCCCAGCCCTCGACGCGATTGAAACGATCGTAGGTGATGTTCACCGGATAGCCATTGGTCGGATAGTAGGATTTGGGCAGGCCGGACTGATCGTAGGCTACGATCAGTATGGGGGTGCGTTGGGCGTCGTAGAAGGTCTCACGATTGGTGAACTGATCAAACTCGACACCAATTACACGCGACTGATTCACCCAAATCTCGCGATTCAGCGTCTGCTGCGGGTTACGCACATCTCCAACCAGATTGTAGACAGAGTACATCGAATTGGTGAGCCCGTCGCCCATGGTAACGCTCTGGTGTGACCACATGGCCAGCATCTCCGCCTCCACGGGTAAAGCAGCCTCCAGCAACGGATGCCTGGCTACGGCCGAGGCTTCCACCACAACACCATTGGCGCCATGTATGACTAGCGTATTGTTGGCCTTTAGCTCAGCATCAGCATGGGCGCGGCCGCGTTTCAAGAAGGTGGATCGAACGCCGCCCAGCACCAGCAGCTCGTTGGCATTGCCATCGCCAGAGCCGGCGCCGGCAATGCGTTCCCTGGAGAACAACGATTCGACGGAGGCGTGCACGTAAATGGTGAGTCCCTTGTTATCCGCCAGCTGTGAGGTTATGCGTACGATTTCACCACTGGGCAGTATCATGCCCGTGACACGTCCGAATTCATCATATTGATAGATGTACGTCTCGCCGCCCGACGATCGCGAGTTCAACAGGCCCGTATTGCTGTCGTAGTCCAGCTCGATCTCCTGGCGACCCTTCTCGCTCAGCTTGGTCATGATGCCAATGCCGTTTATCTGTATCTCCGATTTGTGATCCTGCGTATTCTCAATGGAGCTTACCACATTGCTGTAATCGCGCAGGAACTGTATCTTGTTGCCCGACGCATCCGTCACGGTCGAGAGACGGCCGAAGCTCGTATTTTTCGAATAGAGGAAACTGTAGCGCGTCTTGCCCGATGTCAGATCCTTGGTGGCCACATGCTGTCCATACCGATTGAATACATAAATCTCGCTCGAGGGCGGGAATGGTATATGGAACTCGCCATTCTCATCATGCGATGGCAGATAATGCTCCAAAGCGAGCACGTGCAGTGAACCTAAAAGAGAGGAGAGCACGAAATTAGACAAGTTTAATGTAAGCTTAAGTCTATATGAATATATGGATAAAGTTCAGATGATTAGATAAATATATGTCTTAGTAAGCTGATATTCCTAAAGCTCATAAGAACCAATGCATTTTTGTAAACTATAAAAAACACCTTTGTTATATATAGCTGATAACATAAATGTTAAACATTTACTTTAACATAAAATCGGACTAGTTCCCAAAATCTTTCGAGAATAATCACATACATATTTATCTGCCAATCTTATATTATCTGTTGCCAATTAGATTTATTTAGAAAACCCCCTAAATTCAACATTAGATATTTAATTTGCTTGTCTATACTTTAATAATATTTGATTAGATAAAACCAAATTTTAAATTTGTATCTTTTAAAGTTCCATAGCATAAATAGAACATTAGAAATAGTTACGATAGAAATTAAGGCGCAATATTTAATCAAATGTGCCGAATATATTTTTTAAATAAAAAAATATTAATAAATACCTTTCAAATGGTTATTAAATTATCTTTTTTTTTCTTTGTCGCTCTCTGTCTCAAACTTTCTTTCTCTCTCACTCTCTGTCTGACTGTCTTATGAGAGCATTTGCTTAAGCTAAACGCCAACTTCTTGCAGCTGTTTGCTTTTACAGACCCGACCATCCCTGCGTTGCCCGCCCACCTGCTCATAAAACGTTGCAAGTTCCAAAATCACAGCGCCCAAAAAACAAAGTGTGTGTATGTATGTTCGTGTGTGTGTGTGAGCAAGAGAGGAATAGACAGGAGAGAGAGAAAGAGAGAGAGAGAGAGAGAGAGCGAGGGAGAGAGGTGAGAGGTAGAGGAGTGTCTGCCTGCCTTAAGTATTTTTGTGCAATTTGCTAGCTGTTGTCCCACAGTTATTCTTGTTGTTGCCTGTGTTGCGTTACATTTAAAGTTAGTGTTGGTAAATCGCTTTGGATTTGCATAAATTTGCTTGCTTTTGCCAGCTTTGCATGACAAACACTGACGACAACAGTTGACAAGACTGACAGCAAGACGCAGAGACAGAGATGCAGATGGCGACGATGAGAGAGAGACGAGAAAGAGAATGAGACAAACACAAGTTGTTAGAATTAAGTAGCTGCAGTTGGTTGCATTACTGCTGACTGTATATGCTATTTTTATACCCTGAACCCATTAAAAATGGGGAGCTAGAATCACGAAACATGATATGTTGTCAAGTGTCTTTCATTTTATACCTATCGCCACCTCTCCGTTACCACCCCAGAGCTATAAATCAAGTTAATAACCCAACTTTTATTGCCAACCAATTTAAGCCAAAATTTAAATGCAATTGACTTTTTCAGTATACACAAAAATTCTAAGATACAATAAGATATACTGTAGAAAATTTCATAAAGATCGATTAAAAAAAATCAAAGCTATATGCAACTGCGCAATTGAATAGAGCAGCATCTTTAAGAATTGCTGCATACATGTACAAACACTCATTCATGCGCATCTGCTTCGCATTTTAACAGCATGGTTATTGCGACTTTTTTCTGTAATGCTATTTAAGTTCCTTTTTTATCATAAGTGCTAAATTCAAAATTTTGACCCAAATCGACAAAATGGCAAGGGGTTACATCAGGTTTTTTTTTTTTTTTAAAAAGAGGTCGGTGCGAAAATCTAACCTTTTTTAATATCTCAGGTAATAGCTCCGCGCGGAGGTATGACATAAAAACGACATAACTTCCCGTGGAGATATGACGTTCCAAAACGACATAACTTCCCGCGGAGATATGACGTTCCAAAACGACATAACTCCCCGCGGAGATATGACGTTCCAAAACGACATAACTTCCCGCGGAGATATGACGTTCCAAAACGACATAACTCCCCGCGGAGATATGACGTTCCTAAACGACATAACTTCCCGCGGAGATATGACGTTCCAAAACGACATAACTCCCCGCGGAGATATGACGTTCCAAAACGACATAACTCCCCGCGGAGATATGACGTTCCAAAACGACATAACTTCCCGCGGAGATATGACGTTCCAAAACGACATAACTCCCCGCGGAGATATGACGTTCCAAAACGACATAACTCCCCGCGGAGATATGACGTTCCAAAACGACATAACTTCCCGCGGAGATATGACGTTCCAAAACGACATAACTCCCCGCGGAGATATGACGTTCCAAAACGACATAACTTCCCGCGGAGATATGACGTTCCAAAACGACATAACTTCCCGCGGTGATATGACGTTCCAAAACGACATAACTCCCCGCGGAGATATGACGTTCCAAAACGACATAACTCCGCGAAAAATAGTGTCCGATTTTGGAATTGTATACAATTTTTGACTCGTAACGCATAGAAGAAAACATCTGTGATATATATTATCTAGTTATTATTCAATTTCTCGCTTCCGCATGAATGTGTGGAAAAATCGCGGAAAACGGTTGTATGAAAAGTTTTTTGTTTACTGTCCGATCGGTTTAATTCTCATTACCTTATTTAACATTTCTACTATCAATTTTTTCGCTACAGACATACATGCATACATACATACATACATAGATACATACAGAAATACCTACATACCTCCATTCCTGCTGCCTGCACCTAATTAATAGGTGAAGCCTGCAAGCCTTACTTTCATTTTTGAGAATCGAAAAGGAGGGCAGCTTCAACTTATACGTACGACAAATCGGTCTCTTATTGGTATTCGAAGTTCGGTTAAATCCTATCTTAATTTTTGGGTTGCAGTTAGTTGCGTTATGAATCGCACCCATTCCATACGCCCATTCATACACATTCACATTCGCATTCGCATTCGCATTAAAATGATTATCGCTCGCATATGACAATGAAATATTTAAGACGTTGTTTGGTTGTTCGTTGTTGTCGCTGTTGTTGTTGTCACTGCTGTTGTTGTTGTTGCTGTTGTTGTTGTCGGTGTTGATTTGATTGCGTTACAGTTCATTTACCCAGAGAGCTGGAAGAACCAGCAGTAGGAGCTGTGCCCGCAGTTGGCTCAGTATCCATTTTGGGGTCACATTTTGGGACAAGTTTTGCTATGTTTGCGGGCAAAGGAAAAACAGGAACTTGCCGATGCGCGGGGTTGGGGGTAGTAGAGGACGACGAGGAGTTGGATTTCCAGGACGCAGGACATTGGCACAGCGCCAAATGCTGTGGCTTCAACGATTGAGCGAATTTCAATGCAATGCAATTCGCTTCACTGGAGGTTGCGAGGGCGTGCCTCCACCTCGCGCTGTGAGTGTGTGTACGAGCGCGTGTGTGTGTCTGTGCAAATGTGTGTGTGCATAATGTAATGTAATGTAATGGTAATGACCCCATAAAGTGAACAACTTGTTTGTGCCCGACGCTGTGCCAAAGGGCTGGCTGCCAGTCAGTCGCCCACTCTGTCTCTCCAGCGATCCCTCTCTCTCACACTCTCTGCCAATTCGAAAGGGGTTTCTGCTTTTATGGCACACACGCCCACACGCTCAGCATGTATCGGTTTTTTTGGGTCTATCGGTCTATCGGTTTGTCGTGCAGTCGCTCAGTCGTTCAGCTTCACTGATTTTAAGCTGTTTTTGTAGCTGGCATATGTGACAGCGCACAAGTGTTGCCAATATTCATTCAAATGGAATTTAAATGCATTTTCTTTCACTCCCTCCCCCCACTCTCTATCCCTGTTACACGCATATTAGAACTTCTGTGCTTGTTCACTTTGAGTTAGCCTCATTTCATTTCGCATGCAGTCTGAAATGCAAAACGTTTACGAATATGACACAAAGAGGATATACAAAGAAAATATTTAAATTCGCGCAGGCTAAGACTTCGCTAGATAAGGTTACTATGTTGACGATTTCTGCGCAAGGAATAGCTGAAAAGGTTTTGAACTTAATTTGCAATAAGAGAGAAAATATTGCGCTTAAGGTTTACATATATGAAACAAAACGGTTGAGTCGGAAAGACTTAAAAGGAAGATCGAGTGCGAGAGAGAGACTTAACAAGCTAATTTCCAGTATTATTTATATGTATATACATATATATATATATATGCATTATTATTTTCGAATTAAAAACGTTCAAGTGTCTTACAAAGAGAAGGTTAAGCCGGAAAAGTTAACAAAATGTTGGCCATTATACTCACATTGTGTGCTGCGTGTAATGCAATTTAGGTCTGTCACCTTTCTATAGTTTCTCATTTAAAGTTTTTAGAGTTTATGAAACTCAATTTCAACGAGTTTTTCTTTTTAATTAGAAGCCAAGCGTGTGTGCGTGGGCGATTAATGAGTTCGGGCTACAACTTTTTTGATTACTCCGGCACCCTCCCGCCGCCCCACCTACTGCCGCTTATTGATCGGCTTTTGCGTTGTCATTTGCTCCAGTTCTCACCGTCTAGGTTTTCCTCTTCCTTTTCCACTCGCCTTGTGCTTTTTTTCTATGCTAGCAACACATTTAACGCAACAATTTTTCACATACACAATTACACTCGGAGAAAAAGTCAAGAACAAATGTTCTCACCAACCAGTTTCAAACTTTTTGAACACACTTTTTATCGCAGACACTTAAATGTTGAAGCTTGGATTATTCGACGTAAGTTTAAATATACAATTAAAATGTATAGAGCTAAACGGTGTAAATTTCATGCTTGATTTTGTTAAATTTTCTCTGAGTGTGGACTCTTGTATTGGCACTTAAGCTATAAGCTTTTAATGAAGCTTATTTACGTTTTACTAGAGCTAACAAAACCCTCAAAACGTGCCCCACAACGCCTTTGCCCGAATGTCTTGTCTACACACACACACACACACACACACACACGCACTGGGCTCTTGATTAATGCATGTTCATAGCGCTCAGCATTGCCAGCGAGGAGCGTAGGGGCTTCATGTTGGGCGGGTCGGGCTCAGGCTCGGGCTCGGGCTTTGCTCTACTGTGGGGCAGCTACCGCTTCGCATTACAAGCGCCAATTCGTCGCGTAGGTAATAAGATTGATTTTCACTTTTTCGCTTTTGGCCAAAACCAAAGCCGACGCCCCTGGCGCCTGCCGCTTGCCGCCTGCCGCCTGCCGCCTGCCGCCTTGGGCAATTACTCACACGTGGGGAGGAAGGGCTCGCGCTTCATCTCCTGCTCTTCGACCGCACACACACACACACATATACACACACAAAAACGGACTAAAACTTGATTAATTATAGTCATTGATTTGCTTTCCACGGCTGTTGCTGCTGCTTCTTCTTTTACTTATTTCTACTTTTACTTTTGCTGCTTCTGCTTCTTCTTTCTTTGGTGCGCCCTGCCCTTCATTAATTTGTGTTACGTTGTCAAGCGCCGCCCCGCCCCCGCCTCCGATACCCGCCGCCATCGGCAACCACCCTTTTTTTTTTGCCGTGTGCACTGCACATCGTTAGCGTCGCGTCGCTTCACCTCGCTTCCTCCGCTGTCAGCCCGCCCACGTTCCTTCACCACTCTCTTCAGCACGCGCACCTTCTGTTCAACCTCTTGCCCGCTCGCGTTGGCCGTCGTTTCGGCCCATTGTCGAAATTTATTAATTACATTCTTGGTCTTATCAAATTACGTTTTGCTAATGCACTCAAATTTATACCTTGCCAGCCGCCCACTTGATCCACCCCCTCTACAGCTAGACCGTGCACCCGGCCGCCCCCCTTCAGTTCCTGGGCATCGCTTGTTGTTTTTTGAGCTTTTGCTTTTCGGCTCTTTGGCCTCGCGCCCGCACTTTGGGCTCCATCTTATTTATTGGCGGCCATTTTGTTTAAGCTTCCTCTTCTTCTACCTGGGTCACCTGCTGTGCACGCGCGCATGAGTGTGTGTGTGTGTGTGTGTGTGTGTGTGTGTGTGTATGGCGTCCTAATTTGTCCTCGTTCGAATTGTGACGGAAATTGGTTTCGCTTTTTATTTCTCTGCTTGACTGTTGCCCCGATGGCTGCCCGCGCCGCATGTACGACTGGCGGTTCTCTCACTCGCCCCCTTCCCTGCTCCGCTTCCCTGCGCACCATGCACTGCTACATTTCACTTACCGCTCAATGCTTTTGCCATAATGGCCAATTACAGCGCCAACAACAACAGCAGCAACAACAACAACAACAACAATAAGAACAACCACAGCTGGGACAACTGTTCCAAGTTGTTGTGGCTGCTGATGTTGTTTTTGTTGCAGTTGTTGTTATTATTATTATTATTATTGTTGTTGTCATTGTTGTGCTGCCTGTTATTGTTGCTGCTGTTGCGTTATGTCTCTTGCAATATGTCGCAAATTTTACTTCCGCTGTTAACAATTTCTACCTACTTCCCCCCCTCCCCCCCTCTCTCTTTCCTCACCAGCACTCTGCCTATATTTCTTGCGTTTTCTTCCTTTCTCCCCTCTCTGTCGTCCTCTCTTTATTTTTATTTGCCTTTTCATATAGATAACAAAGCATGAAAATCAAGCACAAAAAAAATAAATAAAGAAAATAAAATACGCTCTAAATTTGTCAATAGGAAATGTACCATTTTCCAAGTTCGTGTGTGTGTGTGGGCGCTATTTTCAGTTGTTGGCCTCAATAAAAGTTGACAAATTTCTATTTAAACGCAAGCCCAGCTAGCGTCCCAGCCCCACAGCAGGCGCTCCTAGGTCTAACCCAAGTGTAACGAGTGAAATTTCCACAAATAATTCAATTTTGACTAATTTTAAGTGTAACATGAATATGTATTCAAATAAATGAATGTATTCATTTCGAATTGATATCTCGCTAATACAATTTTATTTCTGCTTATTGGATTCGATTACTCAACATTCGAATCGGTAATTCCAGACTCTAGACCGTTGTCACTGCAATTTGCAACCATCTCTTTTATATATAATTATTTTTTAAAGATTCTTTATATTTCAGTAGAGCAGGGTAAATCGATAAAGTAGCTTCTCATATGCTGAAGGCTTTGGCAATTATCGCCTTTCTATTTGCTTCTCATTATTCGATTCGATTCTTATTCGGCATCTATCTTCGTTTACAACGCCAGCTCATTGCCTAGTGCCTCTTCTTCCCGCCTCCCTATGCTCACTTTGTTTTTACCATTCAGCTACTCGTTGCACACTTCTCATTGCTTCTGGTTTGGTTTTTTTTTCTTATTTTCTTTTATAGCTCGGTGCTGACTTTCTTATTTTGTTTAAAACTCAGTCTTTAAGGTTGCATCGCGTTTCGCTGCTTACTTTGCTTCTCTCTCCGCTTCTCGCTAACCATAATGCCATGTTTATCTTACTGTGTCTTTCTTTGCTATATTTTGCCTCGCTTCTAGCATAGCTTCTCTCTTGTATTGCTTTGCTTCTCGCTACTCGTTGCATTTCGCTAAGCACTTTGTTATGCTCATCTTGCTGCTTCTTTCCTTTTAAACTTCTAGTAATTTGCTCTATTTTGTTATTTCTTCTATTTTGGAAATAGTTTTCGCTTAGCTTCTCGTTCTGCCTTCCACTTAATTCAATAGTTGATTTCACTTAAGCTTAAATTTTTAACTTAGATAAGTTGGGTACTCACCTTGATCAGCCACATTGATGACGCCGTCCTGGGCAACCGCTATAGCCGAGATGGCCTGGAAGCGAGCGTTCGAGGAGAGCAGAGTCTCGGCATTGCTCAGGGTGCCGTCGTCGTTGAGGGTGGCACCTGAGCCCAGATTGGAGCCGGCGCCGCCAGCTGTTGTCTTGGCGCCTAGCAGCACAGTTGTGGTCGTGGTGGGTCCGGTGGACATTAGGCTGCCGCCGGCCACAATGCCGGCAAGTGTGCCCGAGTTACTGCCCGAGATGCCGCCGCCGGGGCAGACGCAGACGCCGCTGCTGTTAAGAACGCCAGCGCCGCTGCCGCCGTTTCCAGCAGCAGAGCTGCCATTATTTCCGTTTCCGCCAGCTGGTGTCGTTGGCGTGGTGCCGCCATTATTGCGTGTCGGATTCACGGTCGTTGAGTAGGCGCCTCCATTGGCCACGCCCAGTCCGGTGGCCGCAGAGCCATTGCTGCCGTTCCCAATTGCACAGTCGCAGGTCTGCGTGCTGCAAGAGGGAATTGGGAAGCAAAGAGGATTGTGGAAGCGTTAGTAATGCATCAGGAAATGCTTGGACCCCTAAACCACCCGACCACCCTGGCACCCACACAAACAATCAGTCGCAGCTCCCCCTCGTTGTTATCTGTGGCGCAGGCATCGTTTACATGTCGCTGCCACGCCCCAGACTCGCAACTGCAGAGCCGGAACACAGGCACAGGGACACACAGCAAGGACGCAATGTGGTGCAAGTCGGTGCTGGGTGGTGCTCGCCGAAGCGCTTTGTAACCCGACGCGTATTTATGATGACATTGTTTGTTCGATAAACATTTTAAAGTAAAGTGCAGACACCGACAACCTGACCTAAACCTACCCCTCCCTGTACTCCCTGCACTGCCTGCCCTCTTCCGAGCGCAGCACGACCTCCTCGCAATCGTTTATCGCGCCCTGGCCACGCCCATTTTAACCCAAAGCCCCTGTCGCTGCTTCGTGCAGTAGCTACGAAATAAAAAGGTTGATTTATAGTTTCTGTCGTTGGCGCGCCGCCGTTTGCGGTGTCTGCTAATTACTTTTGCCACGTCTGTGCCAGCCACGCCCCTAGAAAAAAAGGGGGCAGCAGCTGCCACTTTCCCATGGCTCAACCCTTTAATCCCCCACCCATTAAGCGCTCAGACCGCCTCCGCCCCTCTGATCAGACTGTCCATCAAAATAAGCGCCAGACCAGAAATCTATTAGATTAAATAAACTGCCAGCTGCATTAAGTTACACATAGCTTTTAAAGTATGTGTGTGTGTGTGTGTGTGTGTGTGCGAATGTGTGTGTAAAATATGCCACATTTATGCCAACTCTCCACCTGTCGCGCTGCACATTTCGCGTGGCTCAGAGCAGCCGCAAACTAATCAACGAAACAAATTAATTGGTTTACTTTGTTAAATTATTGCGGTTCATTGAGAGCGATAGACAGAGAGAGAGAGAGAGAGAGAGAGAGAGCAAGAGAGATACGGGGAAAGAGAATGTGTGAATATTTTGTTTAACTTCAAATATATCTCTTCATTTTGTATACATCTCTGACTATTCCATTTTAAGGTCGCATTGCATTTTAATTTTTTACATATTTCGCACTTCATGGATATTCAGCTCATTTTGTGCATTTGTTTACGTTTAGTTTTTAAGGCCTTTGCCAACACTGATTGCTCGCTTTTGATTTGTGCAAAGCTGCATTAATGTTCAAACTTTGTAGAATTCTTTTAAACATTTTTTATGAATGTTTTTTCGATGATCACAATCTCTATGCGCTTGTTAACACCTCATTTAAAGGCATTGTACAACACTGATCAATCATAGCCCCTTTCTTTTTAGTAACTTTTCAAGCTAATTCACTTTCAAAATATTCTCTTTTTAATTGGCAGCTAGTTTATTTGAATGTATTGCCCACTTCATTCAGTTAGCTTAAATCTTATTATGTTTGTTTTTACATCCGTTTTTTTTCTGCGCATTTTACAACATTCGATTCAAGTCTGGTGTGCAAGCCACACTTGCTCACTTGCAATTTGTTCACAAATGGTAGCTTAGCAACACTATTTATGCCCAATTGATTAAATTACTGGGAGTGTTGTCATAGTTTTTATTTATAAGCGTTTTGTTCATTTCTTTGAACTTGCCAGCGCTGTTTGACCAGAAATCATTTATTTAGCTTTCATTTTCCTTAAATGCATTTGCCAACACTGTGTGCGGTCGCAACAGCACATATGCAAATCTGGTGCATGGATGTGTGGCATACACACACCAATGCATACACACACACACACACACACAGACTCCCAAATGTCAAAAATCCAATTAATTTTTTGGTCACTGTTTTTGATGCTTTAAAGACGTTTTAATCAAGTCAAATAAAGTAAACTGTGCGGTGCATCTATCGTTTGGCCTCAAAAGCACACACACAGACACATACTGAGCGACTTGCTGCATTGACATTTATTGGCCAAGTTTTGGTTGTGTTTGTGGCAAATTTTGTGCAAGTGCAGCGTAAATATTGTTATACCCGTTACCAAGGGTAAGGGGTCTATTATGCAGTCATGTATGCAAGCAATAGGGAAAAGGAAACATGCTGAGTCATTGAAACTGCCCCTTAATCGATAAATATCGATTTGTAGCTCGGGTCACTGAGACTCCAAAAGTGAGTTTTTGTTTAATATAAATAGTTCGATTATCTTTTACTTTCTCCCGTCGTTTCTTCCAAAACAATCGGATAATAAAGACACGAGTTTTGGAAGAAGGGAAAATATTATGGAGTTCATCCAAGCAAGTATTTCGATGGGCCTGAAGTACAGAGTCTCTCCTTGTCGGGCAGAGTCGACTAGGACACTAGTGTTATTATTTATGCCACTACATTGACCCCCTCTAACCGTTTCCCAGATACATCGTTTTTGGCCAATTGCAAATGGCCAAAAAGCGTTCGAAGCGTCACATAATTGGGTCAAATATGCGCATAAACAAGTTGCCAGCCCCAATGGCCCCTTGTGGATGCCGGCAAAGGGCGAATGCCTGAACGTGTCAGGGGGTGAGCAAAGGGCAGTTCACTGTGGCTTGTCTACTTACCCCGTGCCCTCCTGTTTGCCGGCAAAGTAACGCATGTTGCCGGCGGTATCCACGACGCGTATAGAATTGATGCGCCTTGAATCACTGTCCGCTATGTAGAGATCGCCGAAGGGTGAGAAGGCCATGGCCAGCACTGTGCCCAGCACATTGTCCGTGGCTGTCTTATTGACGCGACTATCCTGTCCATTATTGCTGCAGTGTAGCGGTGTGCCGGCCACGACGCGTATCTTCATATCGGAGGTGAGCCGGAGCACGAGGCGGTCGTCGATGAAGTGAAGCGAGCCGTCGAGTGGACTTAACGCCAGACCCGTTGGCCACTGCAGCTGCGCCTGGTTGGCCATCAGCGTACCCGAGCAGGGTGCCGGACTCCAGTGATTGTGATGACCATGATGGCCAATTAGCGTATGAATGACGCCCTTCGGGTCCACAGCGCGTATATTGGTGCCATCGGCAATGTACATGGTGCGATCGGCGGCAATGGCCAAGCCCTTGGGATGGGAGAGACGCGCCTGCAGCGCCGGGCCGCCATCTCCACAATTGCCCTCGTCGCCGGGTATGCAACGCTGACCGCTGCCCACGACGGGTTCACTATTGATGCTAGGATCCTTGACTTTCTCGAGGCGCAGCAGGCGCAGTATCTGATGCCGTTCCGGATCCGAGATATACAAATGCCCATCAGCTGGCGAAACGGCCAGATAGTACTGATACGACACCTGCGTGGCACTCAGCTGGAGTATGGTGAAGACCTTGCCGTCAGGCGTGATGCGGCGTACCAGATTAAAGTCGCCCACATAGAGGCTGCCATCGGGTCCCGTGGCCAGTGCGATGGGTGTCAACAGTTTGGCATCCTTGGCAACGCCATTGCAATAGTCCGGACAATTGAGCGGACGCTGTAGACCCGTGCCCATGACAACCTTGACGGTCCGTGGGTATTCCTTCATGTGCAGCGTGGAGCCATCGCCCTTCTGGAGTATGCCCTCATGGAAGTTGTAATGGTGATGTATGTCTAGACCCCAGCCCCCAATATCGGAGATGTCCACATCGTAGCCCTGCAGTTTGGCCGTCTGCGTTATCCAAACGGGAGTCTGGCACGTGCTGTGCTGGTAGCCCACGGAGATGCGAGCGATGGTCACTCCGTAGACCTTCTGCCGGTAGACGTTGCGCTTGTTCCATGCGAACGTGTGTATCAGATTCGGATCGGCCTCGTACGTCTTCACATGGAGTGCGCCCTCGATCTCCACGCCCACATGCACATGGGTTAGGGTCTTGGGTATTGCCTCCGAAGTCAAGCGCATACGCACAATGCTCAAGTAGCCGGAAGCCTGCGAGGACTGGTAGGTGAGGTGCAGATCCGAGCCGGGTATTTGAATGGATTCCTGCACGATCTGTTGTTGTGGAAGAGAACAAGTGGAAGATTGGCGGTTCAGTCTTGTAAAGCGATAAAAGGTAAGTATTCAAAGGAGAAATCAGAAAAAAGAGAAACATAAAATATAGTAAGGGACTAAATATATAGATAGAAAAAGAGAGAGGGAGAGAGAGACAGAGAGGGAAAGAGAGTACGCGACAGCAAAACAGTGTTGCATAACGCTACAGCAAAACATTGTTGCATAATGTGTCAAACTGCAATAAATTTGCAAAATAAGCGAAATGCTGAAATAAATCAGAAACTATTGCCAGCAAAGAAAAGAAAGCCCAAAGGCGAATGTAGATGGCCGAAAGGTGAAAATGAGGGCTTTTTAGGGAGAACTACAACTGCCGCTGCCACTAAGTGAGATGGTTATTAAGCCCTGCGGTCGGAGCAGGGTCCACAGGGCACAGATGGCACGAAGCATAATGCAGCAATTAAATGTAATGCTCTCACGCGTTGCCTCTATGCCACCCAGCTCACTTAGCTTTTTTTCTCTCTCTCTCTCCCTATCTCCTTCATTTGGCGGAGAGTTATTGTGTGCTTGTGCTTCGCTCGTCGTTGGTAAATGCAAAGTTATAATGTCATTAGGGCGAACTTCAAATTAATTAAAACTACGCAAAGTCCAGCTGCTGCCACGGCCCGCTAATTAGGAGTGGCATTAGAGGATGAGCCGGTAACAGCAGGGGGTTAACCTTAAGCAAGCGGACGGGTGGTAGATGGGCACCAAACTCACCTGAGTCTCGGCAAAGATGACGCGCTTGCCGGGCATGGCGCCGACACCATTTGGCATCCAAGTGCTTATCAGCTGCGGCTTCAACTTCTCGTGATCGTGATCCATGCAAACTTTGCTCGCATCGTTCGCTTCGTCCGCCGTGTGATAGTGTATGGAGTTGAGGAATGTCAGCGCCGGATTCAAAGGAGCCACCCTGTGGAAATTAAAGTTGAGACGAGTATTAGTACATGTTGCAATTAGGTTGAGGCTAGTGCGGGCATGGCGACATAACTCCGTCGTCATAACTCCGCCGACATAACTTCGGCGGAGATATGTTGTGCCAAGTTATGTAGTTGCCGCATAAGTGGCCCCAAGGCTAGAGATGCGCGCGTTTCACGTTTGCCCTTAAGACTAAATTGTCAGCTCAGTAAAAGGAAGCTGCGATTTCACGAAAAGCCCCACATTACAATAAAAATTATTTTAAACAGTTCTCAGAGCAATAATCTTTAGACCGATTCGCTTCTTATATAAAAATATATATTATATAAAAAGTTGATTCCAAACTTACTTGATATTACGACTGGTGGTCTCGTCATCGTCGCTCAGCTGCATCTGCACCGGGGGCAGGACTACAATACGATTCCAGGGAACGAAGACGGTGCGGGTGAGGGGGCGGAAAGGTGAGCGTTGGAATTGCAAGGTGACGGCACCGCCGCCATTAACCAGCACATCGAACCTGTGTGTGGGAAGGAGAAAGAGAGAGAATGAGAGAGAGAGAGAGAGAGAGAGAAGAGAGCGTTAGTAAGAGAAGGAGAGACAATCATAGAAAAAAAAAAAAAAACTTGTGCAGCATCAAATTTAACGGCACAAAACATGCAAATTAATATTTTAATGAACTTTGGGGCCACGCATTTGTGTGCGCTTGACGCACGAGCACACAGCCCCCACAACCCACCACCCCCCACTGCCACAAGGCCATGCGACGGCAATCGTAGCGTATGCTGAGCTGATAATACCTCAATTGTTTGTCGAAATTGAAAAACTTTAGGATTTTTGCTTGAGCAGCAACAACAGCAACTGCCAGAGCATAAGTTGAGACCTCAGTCAGTTGCAGTCGAGTCCCAGGCCCACCCTTAAGCTGCACCCCTGCCCCTCCAGGCGAGGGAGCCCCAACCGTGTTAGCCGCATTAAACATAATGATGGCGATTGCGTTTGTGCCGCCTTCTCATTATTACGAGTATTTTTCGCATTGGCGTACGAAAAGTTGCAAAAAGTTGAACCATGCTAGCCGAGTGGCTAGAGAAGGCGAGGTGAAAGAGCCGTATTGGAAAACAAAGGCCAACAACAACAGCAACAACAACAACAGCAGGAGGTTGAAATGGCTAAAAGGCGTGGCCAGTGGTGCAGAAAGCTTAAGACATGGCAAAACTTTTGCTTTCGAAATATTTAATTAATGTGATTTTTAATTGTGTTTGTGCGAAAGAGCACGAAACAGGCGCAGCATCAGAAAGAGACAACAAGCAGGAGAGCGAGATGAAAAGAACAGCGACATGCCACAAATTGTTGCCAGCTGCCGCACACGAAAATTGCGAAATCCAACTTTTTGATAACTTATCGATAACTGGCACGCACACTCACCCCGCCCTCGTCCACTCCCCTGACCATAGCATATGGTCGACGGAGTAAGCGGTGGTTAAATAATTGAATGAACAATAATTACATTTTATTTTGCAATAAACAACAGCTAAGCCACAATTATAAACATTTAAATAAATAAGCAAAATTACAAACGAAACGAAACTATTTAAATTTTTTACAGTCAAACTTATCCGACTGCGCTGTACCCTATACAGCTCAAGATAGTTGGGCGAGGGACTCTTTAAGTATGCAAAAAATATAGCACAAATGTTCGGACCCGAGAACAGGAGCTTACGAAGAGTTGTGGATTCTCCTTTATATGCAGGTTGCTGCTATGCACGAGTCTCGAGTCAGAGCCGAACATGACACAAAACAATATACTCTGCAGCCACATTTGCGCACAGGGTATACAATTAAATATTTGTTACAATTTTTGCTAATTTCATTTAATTGTTATCACGCTTAAAAAGAGTTACAACTGTTGTTATTCTTATGACAATTGTTGTTGTTTTAATCGCATTTATTCACGCCAAACACACACACGCACACACACACGCACACATAAACGTGTTTTGTTGCTGTTGCACATTTATTTATCTGTAATTGAAGGCATAGAATGTAATCTGGCAGGCCTGGCGCGTTGGTCGTGGCTTACATACACACACACACATACACACACACACACACACACACAAACACTCACACCAGCACACGAACACAGTCGCACACTCGAACACCCGCACACCCACACAATGTAGAGCTCTAATAATATGTTGCTAAAAATGCCAACAATAATCCCCTGCAGCACATTATAAAGACTTTTATTACCTATATTACTACTCGGACTGACAACAACAACAACAACAACAACATCAATTGGTATAACAACGATAATCAACAATGCATGTCAAAGGACAACAGCAACAATGGCAACAAGCAACAGGACAGCAAATGAAGCAAAGCTAAAAAAAATCCATCAAAATAAATAAAAAATTATTTTAAAAGGAAAAGAACGCGCAATAAGAACAGCGAAAAATGAGTCAGAACTCTAAAGTGAGCAGTCATCACGACAAGAAGTATACCCTGTAGTCAGTAAATGTCATATTTGGTAATGTCTGAGACTGCAGCGAAGTGAGAAGCGCAATGATGCAGAACGCGGTCGATCATATGAGCTGTTTTAATTGAGGCGAGAATCGAAATGATAGGCAAAATTAAAAACAAAGCGATACGAAGACCAACTAAAAAAAACGCGAGTTCGAAACTGGGAGAAGGGAGATGTGATAATAAGACGTTTGACGAGAAGACAAGCGAGAAGCGAAGTGAGTAGTTAAGGCGCAAGATTTTATTATATATATTCAACTTCAAGTCAAGGGCGAAGCGAAGTGAGAATCTGTAAATAATTTCAACTTCAAGTCAAGAAAGAAGCGAACTGAGAAGCAAAGGCACAAATCTTAGAGCTCTCCAATAATACGAAATAATCATGCCAACAGTACCCGATATAGCTTGTCCTTGCTTCGTAGGTCTCATCAACAATCATAAAAACAAATTAAATCGCTTCTTTAAATGCTTCTCGCTTCTTTTCTTCACGCGGCTACTTTGGTAATTATATGATGTACATGTTAGACCATCTTTGCTTACTCTACAGGGTATAGGATGTAAAAAGCTACTAAAATTATTACAAAAAAAAAAGTGCAAAATGAGCACAGCATGTTGTGTGCTGTTGCTGTGCGGCTGTGTGTGTGCGTGTGTTTGTGGGTGTGTGGCAAGCTTAATAAGAGCATAGAATTGAAATAAACATTATAAATACAAAGCCATAAAAACAAACTCGCGCGAACATTAAGAGCAACAGCGACAACAGCAGCAAGTTGGCGTTAACAACAAGCAACAGTGGCGCCGAAAAGTATGTGTTACACATGTAAGTAGGTATCGCATACATATGTATGTGCTCGCATGTGCTGAGTTGCCAAAGAAAAAACAGGACGGGGGGCGGAGCAGCAGGAACTGCAAAAACACAGTGAGTGACAAAACTATTCGCATAATTCATAAGCTGTGTGACAAACTACAATATACCCAAGTCAAAGTTTCAGAAAGAAGCAGAAAACTCGAGCAATTCATGTAGTATTAGATATTCCTTTGAATTAAGTAACCTGTGATCTTTACTTTGTCTCTTTAACTGTTGATTTAGGCTGAGAAGCGATGTGTGAGAGAATAAGCAGAAAGAAACTTCCCGATACTTTTCTCCTCACTCTATTCGTTATATGTTTGCTTTCTTATTTTACTTCTCTCGCCTAGTTTTGCCTCATTCTCGTTCGCTGTAGCTGTTTTGTTTTTTACTTCTTTTTTCTACATGCTTTTTTGTTTGATTCTCACTTTGCTTCCGGCTTTTAATTCAACTTTGTTATTAGCTTCCTCCTTTACTTATTTCTTTGATTCTTCTTCTTCTTATTCCGCTACTTAAGCTTCCTTCACGCTTCCCGCTTTGCTAGGCTAATATTACTTATCGATCTGCTTCTTCTTTGCTTCAATATATAAGTGAATATTATTTTTACCGCTCACATTTTCCCATCTCTCCCAGCTAGATGTAAGAGCAACAATCAAGGTCATCGCATTCACCCAATATTTTATTATAAATAGTCACCCTGTGCACACACCCTGTATTACTTAACATTTGTGTCGAATCGTTGAGCTGGTTGCATCGTGTAACTACAACTCAAACTCAATGGGAATCCAAATGGGAAACATTTAGTTTATTGCATGCAAGTGTGCAATATTTTCATTGCACACTGTATGCTGCTTTGAAGGCAGGCACATTTAATTTTATAGAGCACTGTGCAGCTACCCTGTTCCGACCCCGCCTTCCTGCTCTACACAGTCGACTGGCTGTGTGCGACCATCATATGCGGACTATAGAGCTAAAAATAATGTGAACATAAACAGGAATTATTGCCAGCTAAAAGTAAGAATGTTGCAAGAAGAAGAAGAAGCAAACAAGGAACTTTAAAACCGTTCAAAGGCAGAAGCACAAGAGAACACCACATACACGAGCTCCGAAAGGGATAGATAAACAACAACAAAGTAGCCATAATAAAAATAAATAAAAACTGAAGAATTTATGTGCTCCACCAAATCAGAGCTCTAAGAAGCTGACAACGAAGGACACACACACACACACACACACACACACAGCACACACACACACACTCACACACGGGACACAGGACAACTAAAATCAGGACGTGTTTGTTATTTTCTGTGTATTTTCTATATTTTCTATTTTCTCTGCTGCGTTTTGTTATCTTGGGCTTGGGCTTGGGCTTGCTTTATAATTATTGTTTACGTAGTTGTTGTTGTTTTTGCCTCTGCTGATTGCGAAAAGTGGTGTCACGACGAGGGGGTGCCGGCGGTAGGTGTAAGGGAAGGCAAATGTTAAAAATGGTCAACCTAGCGGCATTTAACGGCCACTGGGCTAATGAGAAATTATGGCACAGTAGGTAAAAATGTTAGCACACATACATACAAGCAAGCACAAAAGTATGCAACACTTTTTGAAACGAACAAAACCAACTGCTGCAGTAGTTCTCTCAGTGTGTGTGTGTGCGAGTAGGCGTGTGTATGTGTGTGTGTCTGTGGCTAAGTAAATATAAATAATCATCACAGTTAGTTTGTCCCTTTGTCTGTCTGGCTGCTGCACAGATTTTCTTCTTCCAATACCCTGTAGCCATTTGATATGTAAGTAATGGGTTTTTTCCAGTTGTGCTTATGTGAGTAACAGACAATTGTTAACCAACAACTGCATATGACATGCAAAAATATATTCAGAAATAAAAGTCAACCAATGTTGCACATAAATTTAAATATTTTTTTCTCTTTTTGTTTCTCTAATTTAAATATTCTTATTATTTGTGCGAGTATTATTATCCATAAATTTCGAATTTCTCATTATCATTGCATATAAAAAAACTGAAGTCTGTGCTGAGTGAAGCGGCCAGCTTGCACTTATCTATCTCTTTTCCAAGTGCGTCGTTATTTATATGCAGATTCACAACATTATCCATTTTTTATCCACATTATTATTTATATTTATAGCTATACGTATTTACACATCCCCAAGAACTGTTTACAGGGTATCTTGGAGTTGAACATTTTTAACCTAATTTACAGGATTTGTTATTGCTGGACACAATAAAATCAGCAAAGCGGGTGCGAAATGATTATTCAAATTGCCCAGCAAATACACACACTCATACACACCCACACGACACACACACATGCTAGGCAAAGAAAATGTCAAAAAAACAACAAAAACATTTCAGATGATTTTGCTGTTGTTCTGGCAACAGCGGAAATCCTTTTTACCAAAAACAACTGCAAAAATATTTATATTAGATATATTGGATTGGCGAGCGTTCTCTTTACCCAAACCTCGTCCCTAGCGCAGCATTTCCATTTTCTATTCCTATTTCCATTTTGTATTTTCATTTTCCTTCTTCGGCGTGTGTGTGTGCGTGGGCGTGTTGTTTGTGTGTTCTGATTTAAATTTCATTCCAGCAAATGCCAAATGCGAACGATATTCAAATGTGCTGACAAAACATTTTTTAGCTACGTTTCTGTCTGGCGTCGTGTCTAGTATGCTGATTGAAGAAGCAAAAGCAAAAGCAAAACTCAAAATACATTTACTTATTTATTAATGTATTCTTTTCATTTGATACTAGAATCTATTGAATATCGAGCAGGTGAACTCCCAACACTTAAGATGTATTTGTCTATTGATTAGACCGCGAGGCCAAGAATCTTTCGCATTCCTTTACTTTATATATCATTGCCACGAACACCATCGATACATAGCTATAAGTATCTCTGATTCCAAGCAATCGATGGCGAAGAAGCTTTTGGTAATAACTGACAATCAGTGTCGATAACATTCTACAAGAAAATTGAAAAAAACTCTAAAAATTCGAAAACTTTGTGGTACCAATGTTTATGCAATACCAATCGATTTGAGTTATAGATAATTTACAGTGTGCAAGATGACATAACTAAAGAACTAACACGGTCACACTGTTGCATTTAAACTGCTTGCAAGTTCCCAGCAAAGTACGTGAGCTGCATACTCGGCTTGAATGAAGGCATCTTGGTCTAAGTATAGCTTTTTCCGGCATTTATGGCCCATTAATCAGCACAAATTGCATCTGTGTTTTGCAATATTCTCTGTTTTTGCTTCCTTTGTTGAAAATTTGAAAATGTTATTTGGTCAGCTGTTAATAAGGACTTTTTCTGTTTTCGTTTTGGGTTCAGTTGTCACGTGTCTCGACTCTCGATAAAGCGCGTTTAAATAAGTTAAACCCAGGCTAAGAGGGCGAAAAACCACAGATGCCATTGCTGTCTCTGCCCCAATTCCATGTGCTGGGCTCTGTTCGGGCTTCGTGGGGGTCACATCAAAGTGAAAGATTTAATTAAAAAGTGATAACTTGCTTTATCTGCCTGTGTACACTTGGCCTGTGCCCAACGAAATTCTATTAACAAAATGTAATCAAGAGAAAGCCAAACGAAAGTTGGCCAAGATGCGAGCAGCAGCAGCCCAAACTCGCGCGCCAACTGGCTGACAAATTATGAAAAATTACTCATACGTAAGTAATTTGCATTTCGAGGGCCAAAAGATTAAAGAAGCCGCCCAGCGACTACGAAAAGAATTTAATGAAAATCTAAATCCTTAGCCAGGCACTTGGATACCGCTAAAGCGATTATACTTATAGGTATTCAATTAATAACTAAACTTTGTAGAAATTATCCTTAGGGGCTTATGCGAAGTCTTCAGACACAAAAAATATTTAGTTCTAATATCTAAAGTTTAATTAAGAAAATGATTATGGCTGAGATGTTAAGAGGGCAATTAGGGGAGTTTGAATATTTACAAGCCCAAATATTCATACATTTTAGCATTAAGTTCAACTTATGTGGATGCTAGCTAAACAAAGTACTCCCCCAAAGTACTCCCTAAAAAGATGTTGAAAATTCTATATATAAATAATATTATATAATTTATGATCAGATTTATGCTTAACCTAGTTTACCATAAACTTAAGCTTTATAAGTATTACAATGTGGTTTACTTACCAGCCGCCTTGTCGTGTCAGGGTGAAGCCAAAGCGTGAGTCACGATCCACCGAAACGCGTATGCCAACAATGCCCAGTCCCTGGGGCGTTATGACCTGGCCGCGCATAACCGAAACGCGACTGTGTTGTTGAGTCGATCCAGAGAGAGGGTCAGAGAGCGGGGGAGCGGGAGAGAGAGTTGTGTGAAGAGTCGATTCGTGGTATTGGCGATGTGGCGGGGTGTTTGTAAAAGAGAAAAAAATTTTGTTAGTTACGTGCTTTAAAATTGTTTTGTTTGCTTTTTCTGTTGATTTGTTTCTTGTTTTGCTTTCAGCTTGTTTCGTCAAATCATAAAAGAACCAAAGTGTAAACAAACATCGAGTTGTAACTATGTAAGTATTTTGTATAAAATAGTTATTTATATTTATATATATGTACGAATAGTATCGAGTAATTGAACTTTAACTAATATCCATATAAGACAATATATAATAAAAAAGGGCAATTTTTGTTTCATATTTTTTACTCTGTTCAAGAGAAAACGAAATTAATAGAGTAATTGAGAAAATATTCATAAATTTTATCATATGCATGTGTATGTATTTAAAAGAGTGAGCAAAATGGATGATAGATGTGAAAAATGAGCCTAGGTCTCAGTGTGTGTTTGTGTGTGTGTGTGTGTGTGTGTGTGTGTGTGTGTGTGAGTGTGTGTGTGTGTGTGTGAGTGTGTGTGTGTGTATTTGGGCGTGCGTTTTGAAGTATTTAATTTGCTATGTACACATTCAGTCTGAAAATGTCTTTTTGCTTGGATAATTCAATTTTTGAAAACAGCTTGGCAAATAAATGTACACAGGCCTCAATATAATTTCACAGCCTCTTCTGTTTAGTGTCTGTGTATGAGTGTGTGTGTGTGTGTGTGTGTGTGGGTGTGGGTGTGGGTGTGAGTGCCTGTTTGTGTGCGGGTGGCTACAAAAATGAAAGGCAAATATTCAAGTATTTGACTTGATTTTTTGTACAGGTGAAGAAAACACAATTGGCACGCAGCTTTGGAATGGAATGAAAATAAGTACATGAACTGTGGATTAGCTTCAGGGATTTGGGATATGTACGCAATTAGAAAGGGCAATCGATGGGACAAACAAGAGCACTTGGGTATGCCATCAGCTGTGGCAATTCCATTAAGCTGCGGCCAAGATAAACTACAGATAAGTACATTTACATAAGTTATGTAAAACGAACTGTGCATGGTTTATCGATTGCTGAGCTAGGCGATAACGTGGTGATCGATAACATCGAGTAAAAACTGCGATTATAGCTAGAAGCGTATCGATACACATGGTATCGATAAAAAGCAGCGTTAATCGAAAACTATCGTTAAGACTTCTCAATAAAATCAATTGAACGAGACAATTTGAGAGTCTACCGATATTAATGAGTGGCAGCAACAATCGATATACATGTTATCGATGAAAGCAATTTTCAAAAGTGAAAAAACAACTGCTTAACATCGATAACAAATAATTCAAGCCATCGATTGACGCATGGTAAGTTTTAGTATCGCTGGGCTCAGCAAGAGATAGCTAGGAATGCTGGGAATTTATCAAAAAGCATGCAAAATATAACAACTATAAGTTTTAAGTGAGATAAATTCAATATTTTAAGTAAGATATGATGAAATTGTTTCAGTTTTATTTGCTTATAATTTGTGATAATATTTTTGTAAAAAGTTTAAAAGTTCATGAATTACGAACGCATGGATTATCTGAACAGAAAACGTATTTTATAATTATATCGTAAGGTATATATAACGGCAAAAGTAACTAAAGAATTACCGAACAAACTGAACAAAGTAAAATATGCTAATAATTGTTGGTTACCCACTGAAAATGTGATATTTTCCACATCTGTAAGGCAAAAGTTAGTGATTTTATACAATCGATAGATACTTATATCGATAATTACCGATAAAGGATAGGTGAATAATTTTTAGAGGCGAATTAAAAGGAATGTTTTTGTAAATTGCCTCTGAACTTGTTTGGGTTTCATAATCGAAACATACGTTCATCGACGTCTACTTAAAAGTGTTGAAACAGGATTTTATGTTTAATGGAGGCATCTTACAGCACTTGGTACATCATGTGTTATCCTAATTATGTCCAAAAAACTGGGTTTGTTGTATAAGAGCTAAGCGACTTGCCGAGACATGTTGCTAAGACTTGGTACAGTTGCTTCTTAGTGATGCTGACCGATAATAATTTGAACATAACAATTGCTAAAAGAAAAGATTTTCCAACAACGTCATGTGATAATTGGCAGTTATCTCTCTATTCAAAAATTGACTCTACAGGATATTTGTTGTATAACCTTTAGTTTTTCGTTTCTCCGACTACCAAAAAATTGAAATCGATTATACTTGGGACAAATCTAGAGCTGCTACCTATGTAAACTGAAGTCTAAACACGAGCCACCAAAAAGGCAGCAAAGAAGAATGAAAAAGAATAAACGAAGCAATAATAAAAGCAGAAATTCCATTTAATGAGCTGTTACCCAGCAATTGCGAAACTATGGCAACCCTAGCAGCAGCAATGATGGGGCAACCAGCGCCGATATCCGGTTTGCCAATTTGCTTGAAATATATGAAAGAAAAAATATGCGGCCTGCCTGGACCGAAGTTTTTGGCAACTTTTCTCCTTTATTTACTTATTTTTTACAGCTTGCGCGTTGTGAGGGGTTGAACTCGGGGTTGGGGGTGTTTTTAGCTTGGCAAAGAAACCTTGAAACAAAATGCCGCAGTGTGACGGCCATGGAGACTTTTCAAATGGCGCAATTGTTTGCACTAATTATTGCTGGACTGGGAGCAGTAGAGGCGGCAGACAGCCGAGCAGAGGGCAGCAGGAGCTGTAACCGGAGCGGCAGAAGCCGTTATGGGTTGGGTTAGGCGGTCGAGTTGAGCGCCTGCCCCCTTTATGCTGCTGCAGTTAGCTGTTGTTGCCATTACCATTGCCTCTTCGAACTTTTGCCGGAGCGAAGTTGGCAAAACATTTTCAAGTTTTCAAGTGTTGCAATTTCTCAACCACCCCCGCACCACATGCACCACATGCACCACACACCACGCACCAAAGCCACCGCTCAGCTCTTGACTCTGCGCACATAAACACATAATGTACAATATTTGGGTCAGATATGCTGAGTGCGGGTGTGTGTGTGTGTGTGTGTGCGTGTATGTGTGTGTGTGTGTGTGAATGCTGCAGTGTTTGCCATGTTGGGGTAGCACCACTTGGTGGTGTAGGGCACTTCTTCAGTGACGTCTAATTGCAATTGACCAAATGCCGAGGCAGTCGCTCAGTCAGGCTTCAGTAGGAGCAGCACAGCAGCAGCAGATGCCGCCTATTTGTAAAGCAGAGTATTGTCGTCCTCTGTGTGTGTGTGTGTATGTGTGTGTGTGTGTGTGTGTGTGTGTGTGCGCGCCTGTGCTTCATCTCGTTCATTTTTGCTGCTTCAATTCGATTCAATGAAGCACAATTTTATTTGAAATCAAACCGAAAAGCAAATTGCATGTATATAAAAATCTGTCTGTATGTGTGTGTGTGTGTGTGTGTGTGTGTGTGTGTGTTGTGCCGTTTTGCTCGTGTGTATTCCAATTCATTGAAGTGGTGAGTGCCATTGATTTTTATTTCGCATTTGATTCGTTTCGTTTCATTTATTATTTATTTGATTTATTTTTACTGCAGCCCAGACGCGCGTCTGCCTAAGCCCTCAGCCAGCGCACTTTCACACTGCCACGCCCACTCTGGGCCAACAGCGGGCGTGGCACAAGCAACCTTTTGGTTTGGCCCTTGCCATACAAGTAAATTACTCATACGCCACGTCTGCCGCTTGCAGCTGCTTGGTGTTTCGACTTTGACTTTGATTTTCTCACAATTGAGTGGGTGGCTGAGCGAGAGAGAGATAGAGATGGAGCAAGTTAGAAAGCATAAACAGCTGTCTTGGCCAAGTGTAATAGCCCAGCATATATAGCATAGTCACGATATATGATATATATTCTCAGCTCAGCTCAATGCAACTTCCGGCCGATTGGTCCCATAGCAGCTATATAGCAAAATACTTAAAACAAATTGTTTCGAGTGATAGTTCCTCTGAAATCCAGTTATAGATTAGATATAGTTTTCCGATGCGACCTAGTTTGCCAATCTCATTGTCGGTATCAGAGAACAGAGATGATTCGTCTATGAATAAGGGCTTCAACTATAAAATTAAGTGGAGTTCGGATTATGGTTCAAGCTAGTAGCCGGTTCGCATAGCCGCACGTTTCGTCTCATATTAACCCAGGTTTTAAATGGAAACTTTACAATGCACTCTACACACAGACACACAGACACACACGCAAACACCCTACAACCTACTCCTCGCTTTTGTTTCGTGTCCTCCCCTTCCATCTTACTCTTTTTAAGCCCTCGTTGCCCTTTCACCTTTGGGACGCTCGCGCATTTGTGGACAGCAATTCAATCAGTTTGCGAGCTGCTATCCTCAATGGGCGGCACTCGAAATTATGACGTCATAAAGGCATTTAGTGGAAGTAGTTGAAGAAGAATAAAAAGAAGCAGCACCAGCAGATGAAGCAGCGACAACAAAAGCAAATCCGGAAACGATAGCTGAAAAGTAATCTCGACAACGCGGAGCGGCTGAGCGTGTGCCGCCCACTGATTGCCATTGGCCTTGTGGCGCCACCAGCTTGTGGCAGGCAGCAGCTGAACAATGAAGTGAAAGCAATGCCACAAAAATTTCTAATCTCGACCGAGGTCAGAGCAGCAGTCGCAACACTTCCACTCAGCACACCCTAACCCGCCCCTCGCTCGGACTAATCGCCGTTGCAGCGAATGAGCAATAAACCAAGTCAAGAGCCAGCAGCTAGGAGTGTGGCCTGGCACGTGAGATGGGCCGCGCATTGTCGCCACAGCCACCTTTTGTGTCAAAAGTGCACTTCCATTATTAGCGCATTGTGTGGCTAGGGATGGGGGGAGGGGGCAGGGCGGTGCTGGTGCTGGGGCTGGTGGCGCCTCGCAAAATATGAGTAGCGCGCATAAAAGGAAGTGCATTTAATTTCTTTTCTTTGCTAACTCTGGCTCAGGGGTAAGGGCTGA